CACGCTCAGATGAATGTCTTTAAATTGTGTAAAATAAAATAAAAAAAGAGGAATGTTTTACGTGACTTTTACACATTGTTGGAGATCGGTGCCTTTTTTTTAATGATTTTTGTAGAAAGGGTTGCCAAACAAGGCGAATTCCTCAACAAATCCACCTCCAGCAGCAGCGCCTTTAAATCCGGATCTAAATCAGATTTGGGCGTCTAATGACAAATTCTTGCTCCGTCCGTCGTGTTCTGCTTTTGAGTTTATGAGTATTGATCTGCTCGCTCCACTTAGAGCCGTGTTCTTGTTTAGTAATGGCGCACCGGAGACGAAAACTTCTTTCAGCGCGTTACTCATTCCCCTCCTGCCTCCTCGCTTGCTTTAAGTTCATCTAGAAGAACAGGTGCTGCTTGAGTCGCGTTAAATATTAACGAAGCCCCTTTATTTCACTCGCCCATTCAAAATGTGACACAGATTCTCTCCCAGGTAAATTGTGGCACACGAGTTGGCACCGTTCGGATGTGATCTCCGTGCCTTCACGAGACGATTGTTAAATACCTGTTTGACACAAAGAAATCAACAGTCTCTGCAGGAAAGGTTTTTTTTTTCTCAAACCCACAGAGTTACTGACATTTTTTTTTTTTAAGCGCACACAAGAACTCGAGGAAAATGAAATGACAGTGACTTCTAAAGAACAAACGGTGCTATTTTTGGTACCACTTTGCAATAAGGCTCCCCTTATAGATGGCTAATAAATAGTTGATAGATATGATTTTAATTCCTCTATAAACACTTTATAAATCATTAATAACTGCTTATTATGCATTAATTAATGGTGACAGAGAAAAAACTGACCAGTTTGTTGCCAAATAGTGAGCCAAATCTGTTCACCTATATATTTCATCTAGAGTTGTTATATTGAACGTTTCAGACTAAGTTATTACCTTGTAAGTACAATAAGTATTTGTACACCTATTTCTTTAGGATGTATTAGTTGTATATACGTATAATGCACTGATAAAGTACACTATTATTTGCTAAAGAAATAGGTTTACAAATGCTTATTGTGCTTACAAGGTAGTAACTTAGTCTGAAATGTTTAAAAAAAAAAACTCTAGATGAACAGATGTGGTTCACTATATGGCAACAAACTGGTCAGTTTTGTCACCCTTAATTAATGCATAATAAGCAGTTATTAATGATTTATAAAGTGTTTACAGAGGAATAAATAATATTAGCCATCTATAAAGGGAGCCTTACTGTAAGGTGGTACCTTAGTTTTAATGTTTTTGTATGAAATATTCTATATAATTTTACATTGTGCAACATATTTATCTTGGAAAAGTATTTGTTTTCTTGCATGCTGATTAAAATTTTACTTTTGTGCTTCGTTGTTTTTAAAGAGGTTCAGGCTAATAATGTCATATAAAGATAAAGTTGAGTCATTACAGCCAAAAAAACAACAAAAACACAGATGTGATTGTTGACTGTTTTGGGGGGGGGGGGGGTTTGGTCTTCAAAATCACTCCAAAATGTGTTATCGGTACCACTTCCTCATATAAGACCCAATATAAAGGATTTAATAATGTGTCATAAAATAATTATTTATCCACTTTATCAGTCATTTATAAAACACTGGTCATACATGAAACAAGCTCACTATTTGGCATGATTAGACATTGTCCTTTTACTTTATTTCAAGGTTCAAGGTTCTTTGTTGTCATTCGCATCACATGCAGTACATGAGGTGGAACAAAATTGTGCACACAAGGTCGCAGTTATACCCACATATAGCAACGATTTAAAGTAAAAAGGAAACGCATATATCTAATATATACACTAAGATTTACGCTAAACGCTAATAATGTAAAATGATACGATGTATTAAACAACAGCCAGAACATTCATTATAATGTAATTTACGTGCGTGTAAACACTATGAGCAGTAGTAGATCCTGTTGTTAGTTGTATAAGTTCAAGTAAAAAAGTATGTTGAGCAAACAGCAATAAGTTAAATTTATCAAATAAATAAATAAAAGTGCACGGTCTGAGTCAAATTGTGACCCTGTTTTATTATATGAATAGTTTTTTTTTTTATATATTATAGTTAATGCATTATAAAGTGTTTACAACCTTATGTATAACCTGTTTTGTAAAGCATTAATATCGCCTTCATAAATGTATCTTTATTAGTAGATGGCACCACTTTAGTTCTATTTTTTGTCTTTATGACAGATTTGCCAAAACATTTCGTCTCTGATGGGGCATCATAAAAAGTCTTTACCCACAGTCGATCCAAACTGAATCTGAGGGTACGCACGGAGGATCTTCACTTCTTTCTTTGCAAAGCAGAAAATATTGCATTTACAATACAGGCAGTTGCTATTATTCTTTTATGCTTTTATTTTTCTTAGTCAAGACGTGGAGAAAAGTTCATCCACGGTTCAAAACGTTCTGAATTTTCACCCATTAAAAGTTGTGTGAATTATTCTTTCCAATCAAAGTTTTATATAAAACAAATCTCAAATAACAAACAGTCTGATTCTTCAGAAAGTAGAAAGGAAAATTACGCACCCGCACTTATAAAATAGTTACCAAATCACGACTAAACGAGACACGGGAGCTGGAATTGTTCTTTTAACAACACAATATAAAACCGCAGCTAGCTTTGTTCTGAAAATGTGGCAACGAATCGGCTGGATCGATGTCTCGTATTCCCTACCGGCTGAAACGAGTTTATAAACAACAAGCAGCGCTGCAAACGTGACATTAAGACCTGTTCTAAACTAAAACTCCAATTATTCCTGTGAATTCAAACCTTTCTGGCAACGACAATCCATCAAAGCCAGCAGAATCAGGAATTAAAATGCCCACCTCGGAGCGTTTACCCAAGTGCAAGCGATTGTTTGCCGAGCGACAGCGCACAGTTCACTAATGGAAGCTGTTAAATGTTATTTTGCTGTAAAAATGGTGCCATTTATTTCATCCCCGTACCTCGAGTTTCCAGCTCGGCGTGCGATTGTGATTCACGCCACACAAAAATTCACACGTTTCCCGAGCGCCACTGAACTGTTCATTCCAGACAAAGGAATTAACATTTAAACAACATATATGTGTTTGGGTTGACACGTGAATAAGTTAATCTGACGTTTGCTTCGGTGAGCTCCTGCATCAACGCAGCACCTTTCATCCTACACGCATTCAATCAGCTGCCGAGCTGTTGACACAAGAAAATGCTGTTTCAGGCCAAGGCAAGACAAAGACTGCTCGGCTTTTGATTGGTTGAACTGTCAGGGGTATTTTAAATTGATTGGATGAGTTTGTCTTCATAAACATGCTTGTTTTCAACATAAACAAGCTTTTCAAAAAAAAAAGCATTAATTGTGCTTCCTATATGTATTTACTATAAAATAAAACCTGTAAAGATGCACAATATTAATATAATGACGCATATTATTAATTGATTAAGGTATACTAGTATTATTATTATTATTGTCTGCAACCAAAAAAGCAAGGGGCATGTATTTTTACCTGTGTCTGTGTGACTGTATCTGTCTGTTAGCAAAATATCTGATGAACCACTGAGCAGATTTTAATGAAACTTTCACAAAATGATCATGGGGTGCACAACTACAAGTGATTAACATTTGAAGCCGTCCCAATCCGATATGGCTGACACAGCCCACTGAACTTTAAAAAAACAACATAGCTGGAATTCAGTGAATATTACTAATATTCTGTTCAGATTTGTTGTGGTAGTAGCTGAGAATCATTCACAACAAGTACTCCAAGTGCTACTCAATGTGCACGATTTTTGTTTACAATTTGTATTGTTAGCTTTTGGAATGAACTGTTTGACTGTTAGCAAAATGTCTCATGAACCACTGGGTGAACATTAGTGAAACTCTCAGAAAATATTTACTGGATAGATATCTATAATGCTTTAAGTTTTGGAGTTGATCCAATTTAAGATGGCCACCATAGCTATCAACATTAAGCATCACAAGAAAGGGTATAACTCAGTCAGTTTTATTGTTATTGAGCTAAAGTTTGGTGTGGTAGTAGCTGAGAGTCATTTACAACATTTAATTTGAGAATGCCATCTCTAAATGTGTATCTCATTGTGTATAAGATTATTTTCAAGGTTTGACTGAGATGGATACAACTCTTGGTTTCTCAATATTAGGATGATGTTAATTTTCACTTTAACTTAGACATAAAAGGCAGCAGATGACACTCACTCCTTCAAAAAACCTATCCAATGTCCTTTATTTGGTTTGTTTGAAAACTATATCAGCACAACTTTGAACACGGTGACAGTCTTTGCCCAGCTTGTTGAGGAAGATGTAAAAGGATCCTGTAGTAGATCCTTGAAGGAGAAGACAGTAAACCTGACAGCAATGATCCTACATAAATCATAGTTATGTTGATTTAAAAAAAAAAAAACGGATGATTCCCTCAGCAGGGGAAATAATTAGGACAAAGCCACTGTGCACGACTCTGTTGCTGCTTCCCACTCATCTGTGTCAAACAGCTTGGTCAATAATCTTCCACAATTCCAGAGGATTAGAGTCTTATTAAGGAGCCCCGTCTGTCAGCAGGACCTCTGAGTCCAGAACAAGTCACTCCCTGACTGTTTTATTAATAACCATTTTGATAAATACAAAATAAACAGATAATTGGTTTCATTCGGGGGGGGGAATCATATAAATGTGTTTTGCTTCAAATAAGTTCCTTGTGATTATCAGTGTCCTGTTATGTAACAGATGAACTCAGTCTGGACAAAAGCGCAAATATTTTGTAAGTGGACTAGATTAGAATTACTTTAGACGATGCAAATCGGTGTTTTCCTAATCCTTCACCACAATTTAAACTTAAAGAAGTCCTAATCCACACTTGTGGATCTGAGAGTCGTGAAGCTGTTTTTCTTTATTTGGGAAATGCGTTGACAACAACAACAAACAAACAAACAAAAAACAGGCAAGCAACCTCCACAAAGTGCGTCAAGTTCTTACCTGGTCCGCGGATTTCAGCGACGGCAGCAGCCAGAGCCAGAGCCGCGACGAGAGTCGTAAATTGCCGGCATTGTCTCGCACACATGTCTGCTGTGAAGTGGAGGCTTGCTGTCCTCGGTGGAAAACAACCAAAACAACAACAAAGGTAAAGAAGAAGCTCGCCCGTGCGCTGAAGACGATATTATTAATGTTATTTCCAGTTGGGGGTGAGGGGTGGGAGAGAAGAGGAGAAGCGAGCAGGGCGGCGGGAGGAGTTGAACCGTCGGAGGTTGGCGCCTCGGATGCTCCTCGGAGCAGAGATGGAGGAGGGATAATGAGGTGAAACGCGGAGGTCTGTGTTTAATTCGGCCGCGCGCTGAGCGGATTGCTGCCAGTGTGAGGGAGGGAGAGAGGAGCAGAGCCGAGGCTTCAGCACCGCGGACAGCTCCTAGCGTCGGCGCGGGGAACCGCCTCCTCCAAGTTTCCTCCCAACACTTCCTCTGCTGCTCACTGCACCCCAACAACTCTCTGTACTCTTTGACTGGGCAAAAATATCGATGAATAACCTTTAGGATATTTAAATTTATGACTTTTGCAATATAATTCAAGATGGCCGCCACAGCCAGCTTACCTTAAAAACAAATTAAAAAAAAGCATAAAAATGACTTGAACTCTGCGGGTTTTATAGATACTGAGCTAGAATTTAGTATGATGCTGACACTGAGTCCCAAAACATGTTCTGTATATTTATCTACAATTTTAATATTTTAAATCAAATCTATTTTTGTTAGCAACGTATCTCCAGAACAGTGCCGGCCCAAGCCTCCATGGGGCCCTAAGCAAAATTTGGTTTGGGGCCTCTATTTCTGCCAATAATGTGGATTACTGCAATCAACAGTCAAATGATCAGATCATTCACCCTCCTAACATAAACTCATTGCAATTCTGACAGTCCTGTTTACATTAACTTGTATGTGTGGTACTAAAAGTAACAGAAGTTGAAAACAAACACCAGTATGCAATGTATTTTACAGCAAAAATGTCATCTGGTTTAATGTGTTTGGTTCCAAACAACTGCATGTTCAAATAATTTATAGTGCAAGATCGACAACAAACAGATAAAATAGTTTAGACGCATAAAAATAACTTGGTGCAAAAACAGACAAAATTAAATAAAAAATAATCAAGAAGTACTTAATGTGAACGAACTATTCCTTGAAACCACATAAACTGGTTTAAAAAATAAATTTAAATTTGAATAATTAGTTCATAAAACTATGTAAATGTATGCAACAATTTGCAAAAGATTAACTTAAAATATTAAACAATCTTTACCCACACATTTGACCTGTTAATGTTACTTCTTCCTCAATACTTCACAAACTTCCTAAAACCTGTGCTTCCACTGTGAGGGCCTCCTAGTGGCCCTGGGGCCCCAAGCAGCTGCTTAGTTTGCTTATGCCTTGGGCTGGCCCTGCTCCAGAACCACTGATTTAACTGGAGCTAATAATAAATGATTCTTGGATGATTAACTTTTGGAGTCAACTTGATGTAAGGTGCTGGCCTGATAAAACAGAGAAACTATCATAACTCAGTAACTTTGAAATAAACAGATACATTTTGATATGGTAGTAGCTGAGAGTCATCCTCAGCTCATACCCTGAGCGTAACATCTCATTATGTCTCATGAGACAAAACATAATGTTGTTATCAACGTTTAACTAAAATGGCTACCTCTTTGAAATCTCATAATCTCAAACTTGGCATGTTTTTGTTCAAATATTTATTTATTGAAACAATTTTTCTAAGCATGAATGCCTCAGACCGCTTGTCCTACATCACTTCTGTTTGTCTTTCTCGCTAAAATGAGCCAAAACACGAATGTGCAATCCTTGTGCACATGCACCAGCTAGACCCACCAGAGATGATATATAGAGAGAAAAAAGCTATTGTGTGTGCCATTTTTGATTAAAAAAATTACATAAAATAAATGTTTGCTTACTTCTCAAAAAAATCTCCAACGTGATCTTTGGGTTTTTTTTTAAGCATATTATTTATTTATATATTCTTCTGTTTGTTATGCATTTAAATCAACATTAAAGCATTGTTGTGTTGTATTTGTGTAGACAACAAACATCTCTTTGTTCCATTTTTACATACATCCATCCATTATCTTACCTGCTTCTTACATTTCGGGTTGCGGGGGTCACTGGTGCCCATATCCAGCAGTCATTGTACAAGAGGCAGTGGACACCCTGAGCAGGTCTCCAGTCCATCACAGGGACACATAGAGACAAATGAAACAAACAACCATTCACTCTCTCACTCACACCTAGGGTCAATTTAGAGTTACCATTCAGCCTAACATGCATGTTTTTGGTCTGTGGGAAAAAGCTCATGCATGCACAGAGAGAACATATGAACTCCACCCAGAAATGCCCTTGGCCGGGACACGATCCAGTGATCTACTTGCTGAGAGGCAACAGCTCCACCAACTGTGCCAACCTGCTACCCAGGCATTTAAAAAGTGCAGATAACTTGAGGTAAATATCTCCTGGGATGGCAAATAAACAATCCAAAGTAATAAACGTTTGTTAAACTTTAAATCATGGCAGTCTTGAAAGTAATTTTAAAGCCAATCTGTCTGTGGGTTGGTGACCACTGTGTTTGCGTGAGAGACATCATAACCATTCAAAAGCATTTTATCATACAAGTGGTGTTTTGTCACTTGAATTTTGAACATTTTTAGAGTAGTTGCTGGTGTCTTGAAGTGTATAAATTTGATTTATTTAGGTTTTAAAGATCTACATGTGTATGTTGACATCTGCATTGGCAAAACTTGTCCCCACAGCTGGCTGGTTGCTTGGTTGTTAAAAAACATTCTATCTACAATAGATAATTTATCATGATTTTAAATCACCAACTAGTCTTTGATTTATTTGTTCAGCATGTCTGAAAGGCACATGGGAGTAGGAATCGCTTGATTTTTGTGATCTATGTAATGGTGTGGCAACCATTCTTGAAACTTGTCCATCCATACATACATTTTCTTCCGCTTATCTGGGGTCGGGTCGCAGGGGTAGCAGCTTTAAGTAGGGAGGCCCAGACTTCCCTCTCCCCAGTCACTTGGGCCAATTCCTCCGGGGGGATCCCAAGGCGTTCCCAGGCCAGCCGAGAAACATAGTCCCTCCAGCGTGTCCTGGGTCTTCCTCTGGGTCTCCTCCTGGTGGGACGTGTCTGGAACATCTCACCAGGGAGGCGTCCAGGAGGCATCCTAACCAGATGCCTAAGCCTCCTCAACTGGCTCCGCTCAATGTGGAGAAGCAGCGGCTCTACTCTGAGTCCCTCCCGGATGACCGAGCTTCTCACCCTATCTCTAAGGGAGAGCCCAGACACCCTGAGGAGAAAACTCATTTTGGCCGCTTGTATCCGAGATCTCGTTCTTTCGGTCACAACCCAAAGCTCATGACCATAGATGAGGGTAGGAACGTAGATCAACCATTAAATTGAGAGCTTCGCCTTTTGACTCAGCTCTCTCTTCACCACGACAGATCGGTACAGCGCCCACTTCACTGCAGACGCTGCACCTATCTGCCTATCGATCTAACGCTCCATTTTTCCCTCATTCGTGAACAAGAACCCAAGATACTTGAACTCCTCCACTTGGGGCAGGATCTCCTCCCTGATCTGGAGAGGGCACACAAACCTTTTCCGGCTCAAGACCATGGCCCCGGATTCAGAGGAACTGATCCTCATGCCGGCCGCATCACACTCAGCTGCGAACTGCTCCTGTGAAAGTTGTAGGTCACGACCTGATGAAGCCAATAGGATCACATCATCTGCAAAAAGCAGAGATGCAATCCTAAGATCACCAAAATTGATCCCCTCAACACCTTGGCTGCGCCTAGAAATTCTATCCATAAAAGTTATGAACAGAACCAGTGACAAAGGGCAACCTTGGTGGAGTCCAACTCTCACCGGGAACGAGCCCGATTTACTGCTCTTGAAACTTGTATGGAACTATTTTATGGCCCCATAAAAATGTTGTTTGTTTGCATTAGAGATTCAGATTTTGTTGTAATAATCAGCATCTAAACACCATTTTTCTGTTTTTCAGTAGATCATTGTTGAACTATGTATAGTAGTTCATAGCTGCAGCAGTACTGAACCAAACACTCAATGTGGTGATGAAAAAAGATCAATTGATGTAACAACGATGATCATATCTCTGACCCAGAACCTTACCATGATATCTAGCATATACCTGAGGCACATCAAGGTTGGACTGCCAGGTGAGCAGGAAGGAGCCTGTGGAAGAACCATAAGTATCCCACCTGAATGATCAGTCTCTGATAAATAATGCTCTTCCTGCACAGAACTAGCTATATTATAAAAACTGAGATATTCTGGTAAAGATCTGTTCCACTTGTAGAACAGAAAATTCAACTAATCAGAATTAGTTACATTAAAACAAATTAAAATGTTTGTTTTAAATATAAAAAGTGTTGTGAAATATTTAATACAAATAGAATCATTACAAAATAAACTCCTGTTTAAACTGTAGGTGTGTCAGCTTAGTTGCTAAAGTCATTTGGTTGTTGAGGGTTAATAAAAGCATACAAAAACTAGGTGTCCTGTATTTTTAAAGCTTTAAATGATCTAAGATTAAGTTTTAAAGTAAAGATAGGCATTTTCCCACAAGTTTCAAGAAGACAGTTGTACATAAAATGAAAATAGATTATCTGATTTTTTTTTTCATTTGGTTGTCGTGTTGTTAACATTTATTTCAGTGCAAAAGTCTGAGCCTCAACAAGTAGACCTATTTTTCCTTTCACACAGTCAAGCCATCCATTCTTCCATACATCCATACATCCATCCATACGTCCATACGTCCATACATCCATTCATACATACATACAAACAAACATACATACATGCATACATGCATACATGCATACATGCATACATGCATACATGCATACATGCATACATGCATACAAACATACATACATACATATATACATACATACATACATACATACATACATACATACATACATACATA